CGGAAGGCCCCTGTGAGGGATTCCCTGCTGCAGGAGTTAATGGTGATGTTAGAAGCAACGCGAGCTGCTGTGGGGAGCAGGGGCTGACAGAGACCTTTGTGTGGAACTGTCCTGCTCCGTGTTTCATGGGGAATTAGAGAAGAGGGAGAAGAGCAGTTCATCCCAGGCTCTTCCCCTGCCCAGTCCTGTCTGCCAGATACCCATTAGATTTTCAGGTTTCTTCAGGTATTTCTTCAAGTATTCAATGCTTAGCTCAGTATTTATAGCATAACAACACAGAGGTGTAACACAACCTAGGTTTTGTTACAAATAGCTCAATTTTGCGAGCCACCCTCCACGCCGCTGGTGTGAGCAGTGGCTGCAGGTAGCCGTGCTGCTGGATCTTCTGAACCTCCCAGTGCGTTCTGTAGGCACCGGGCCCCTGAATCTCTCCTGTCAGACTACAGTACCTTTTTTTTTCTGAAAGTTTGGACAGATTTAGAGCTTTTTTTCTTCCTGTGAGCTGTAAACAGAGAGATTTTTTCAAGTCAAAGTCTATTTAATTTTGAAAGAAATTATTTTAGGTCTACATGAATATTTGCAATGCTTCCATAGATTGCCATCAGAAAAAGTTATCTTAAAACTTGCCAGTGTATTGTTCTGTCTTAGCAACCCAGCAGACTCTGCTGAAAAACAAGAAAAGTGATCACTGAACTCCTGTAAATGTAAGATATGGTAAAATACAGAGCGAGAGAGACAGGGCAAAAGCTAGCAGTGCTAAGAACAAACCCACCAACCACTCCGTTCCCCCAGCTGGAAACGTACAAAGGCTGACTGCTCATTGGGAACCAGGTCTAATAATTTCGGGAGGACTTCTGAGGAATATACAAGTATATTAATATTGCCCTAATTTAAAAGGGAAGTAATGAATTGAAAGGCCAAATTTGAAATTAGCGAGTTATGCCATTGTGATAATTAAAGAAAACAGAAGAAAACAGAGATCCTGAAGAGATGCCAAGCAATAGCTGTGCTGTTATAAAAGAACCTGTATTAGGATCGGTTTGTTACTATCAGCAAAAATAGACTTTCAAATAACAAATTCACAGTAGAATTTAACACTGGTAAAGTTTTATGGAGGCTTTCAGATTTTTCTTCTACTTACTGAAATTCAAATCCAGGTATCAGAATGTCGGCCTTATATTTAATTCAGTGTACACATTTCTTTGAATGGACATGATTTTAAATTGTCTTTAATATATTTTACTCAGTGTGATTTTTCTTTTTTCTTTCTATTTTTAAAGAGGACAATAATACAAGAGTTTTGTTTGAACGTGTTTTAACTTCAGGGAGCCTTCCACCTGAGAAATCTGGGTATGTCTGCAAAAGCAGTTTCACTACACTAAAAAAGATACATAACCCCTTTCAACTACAAACATCCTAAAGAAATTAGAAAAATGAACAGCAGGACAAAATTAGGTACAGATGTTCCTTCCCCTCATCATGCTGTCTAAAATAGCAACAACTGTGACAGATTTGGGAAAGTCCCTATCCCACTTGCAGTGAAATTCATTAATTTATTGACTTTAAAACCTCATTGACGCAGGACTGTTGAGGATAGAGCACAAAATCCTCCTGCGCAGTAAGGATTCAATGGTTTGAGCAGGTGGCGTGGCTAATGACATGTATTGCTCACCAGATAGATGCTTCAGCTAGATGGGGAGAGGGAGTGGAGAACATCTTTCAGGAGCATTATGTTAGAGAAGGTGGGTCAGGAATTTATTGAGGAGAATGCTGAATAACTCCCAGCCAACTGAAA